GTCCCAATTTTAAAAAAGGAAAAGGCAATTGGATGAATGCAACAGAATGGCTTTCACAGACATGTAGCTATTCATTATCTGTCGAGCTTCTCAGCGGATACAGGAAGCCATTGGTAGGGCTCATCTGAGAGGTGACTGCTTGCGGATCCCGGCCCAGACTCTTGGCTATTTTAGTGGAGAACACTTCAGTGTAATTGCCTTCCAACTGAGGCTAAATTGTGTTGCTGAGAAAATTGGTGCACAGCACAGTCTTCTCCTGCTGCAAACAGTTTTTTATTTCCCCCTAAACAAAAAAATGCAGGGAGAGTGACGAGCTTTAGGATGTAAATACCAGCTCGGTGCTGAAGAGCCTCCTGCCATTTCGTGAAGGGAGATATTGAAAGTGCAGCGATTTGCCCTGCTTAAAATTGCAAGAGCAGTTTATGTGCTTCACAGAATCTGTAAAAAGCCAAGGACAAGCCAGCATCTCCTTCCTTTTCCGTTATATCCACCTTGACAGGCAGGATTAAAATTGACATTCACACTTGATTATTATTGTTGTGACTATATAAGATATCTTCTGTGCTTAAAGTAACAATACAATTATACAACTGAGTGCAGTTAACAACTTAATTGATATGTTCTTGTTAATTAAAAACAGGGTTTAATGAACAAAGACAGATATGTATCCTCCGTAAAATGTGTGTAATTGTCGCAGTAATCATCTTGGGAATTATTTAATTATTTGGTAGTGACATGAATAGATGATAATTAGATTTGCTAGTTTGGAAACTCTGGAAAAAAAGAAAAAAAAACTCTGGAGGATTTTTTTTTCTCAAGTTTTTGAAAAAAGGAAAGTTGAACCATTTTCTATTTTAATATTTTTTAAATGTAATTAATTGTTGTGATGGCAAATGTAGCATGTTTATTTTCAGCAGCCACCAGTTCTAATTCTAATATCCTAATTTGCTGCTCAAGAAACATTTCTTATTATTATTAATGTTCAAAACAGTTAGTCTACAGTGCTAATTTATATTTTTCTGGATGTTTGATGAATAGAAAATTCAAAAAGAACAGCATTGATTTGTAAGAGATAATAAGAGATAAATAAGAGATAGATTGAAATATCAATATATATATATATTATATATATAATAAGAGATAAATAAGAGATAGATTGAAATATCAATATATATATATATATATATATATAATAAGAGATAAATAAGAGATAGATTGAAATATCAATATATATATATATATATATATATATATATATATATATATATATAATAAGAGATAAATAAGAGATAGATTGAAATATCAATATATATATATATATATATATATATATACTTTGTATATATATATATATATATACTCATCTCCACTACAAATAGGAAAAAGAGGCTACAATTTACAAGAGCTCACCAAAATTAGACAGTTGAAGACTGGAAAAATGTTGCCTGGTCTGAAGAGTCGATTTCTGTTCAGACATTCAGATGGTAGAGTCAGAATTTGGCGTAAACAGAATGAGAACATGGATCCATCATGCCTTGTTACCACTGTGCAGGCTGGTGGTGGTGGTGTAATGGTGTGAGGGATGTGTTCTTGGCACACTTTACGCCCCTTAGTGCCAATCGGGCATTGTTTAAATGCCACGGCCTACCTGAGCATTGTTTCTAAACATGTCCATCCCTTTATGGCCACCATGTACTCATCCTCTGATGGCTACTTCCAGCAGGATAATACATCGTGTCACAAAGTTCGAATCATTTAAATTAAAATAGAATTAAATTAAAATATTGATTTCCCAGGATTAACCAGGCTGGGAGACTATCTATAAGACGAGCAACTGCTACAATATAAGCTGTTATTTACAGCAGGGAATGATTCAGGATTCATCACAGTTCAGCTTAGCTAATGATAGTACTTCTGCACGCAATCTTCAGATCATATTTACATATTTTCTGACCTACTTTTCAATGCGTTCTTATTTTTAATGAGAGTCACACTTTTGTTATAAAGTTATAATTTAATCATCAAATCCAGAGTAAAATAGCACTTAGTAATCAAGTATTTCTGTCTGTCTGGTTGAGAACAATTTTGGAATTTTACGAGTGCCTCATTACTTGGGAGCAATTTCCTGGGAAAGAGATGAGAAGCTGATTGATAGCCTATTGTCAGAAATAAGTGTGACCTCATTCCCACAAGCCAGCAGCCAGGAGCAAACTTTAATCTCCTCCCAGTAAACATTCATCTCATACAGTGAGCCACATTTCTCTCTCTCTCTTTTTCTCTCTCACTCTTTTTGTCAGCCACTCTGGTTCTTTTGGAAACTCAGTCGGTTTAATTAAGTGGGATTAGAAGCCACCACAGTGTCTTCCAAGTCTTGTTTATGAGTACCACACTAAGAGGTCATCAGGGGTCCTATGAAAGAAAATCACACATAGCTCTTTAACAGAAAGAAACATTCTGTAAAGCTACTTATGAAGTCTGAAGGCCAAGTTTTACATTTTTAATCTTTGAAAGAAGCTGGTCCCTGTGTAGTCTTCAGCTACCAGTTTCACATATTTCATTTTTCAGTTAAATGCTAATTCTTAATTAATAGACATTGTGAAGTAGCAAGAGTTTAGCAGGAGGGAAAACTGTTCCCAGACTTAAGCAGCCTGTAAAAGTGTGTTTTGTGGTGTGTTACTTTTTTTTATTGGAATATTTGTCAGTCATGCCATGCATCCTGTTCATATTAATAGCTTGCTATGAATAGTGTTTTGGATTCATTACACATACTTGCTGCCACCATATGTTTGGTGTACTGACACCACAAGCTGTCTTTGAACATGCATCACATCACTCTCAACTCACAGAAAGCATCCAGAAAGCCTCATTATAACATGTGTGTGTGTGTTCTTGTATATTCTTGTATTACAACGTAAAATGGCTTATTAATACACTTCCATTACACCTATGGAGAGACCATGTAAACCAAATGTACAAGTTTGTGTGTGTGTGTGTGTGTGTGTGCATGTGCATGTATTTCAGTAACCATGAAGAAGTCCAAAAATAAATTCCAAATGAAAGCAGTAAAACGTTGCTGGATGTCATAATGTTTTGTCCTTTAGCTATGGGTAAAAATCAATACGCTGCCAAAACACTGGCAATAAAAAATATGAATGAAGTCTATGGCCTTGATAAAACAACTTTAAATGACAATTCATCATATATTAAAGCAGGTGTTTCACAATTTGTTCAGTTTCCTCTCATTTCCTCAGACCTGGTAAGATAAAAGTGTAAGGAAGACTATTCAATTGACTATAAGTCTTCTTTTCAATGACTATTCAGCTGACCACTGTCAAGTGTTTTAGACACTGATGGAAGCGAATTGTTGAAAATGTTTTTTTTTTTTTTTTTTTTTTGTGACTTAGCAGATTACTGAATAAAGCAATAAGCCATAAGAGGCTGAGCATTACAGTGTTTTTACCATGTTCAAGAGGTGTTCTAGCCTCCATAGCCTCCACACAACCCCCAAATAAAATACCCTAAATAAATTTAAAAAAAAAAAATTCTGTTCATAAGTCGTTCTGAATAGACACATTACCAACATATATTTAGAAAGTCAACACTTGAGAGTTTACTGTTCAATACTCAGAATTACTCCGTATGTTATTAATATGGAGATTTACATACAGTGTATAAATTATTACAGTAAACCTGACTAAATACAGGACGTATTTTGTCTGTATTTAGTCATATTTACTGTATAGTGTTTATAAGCCTGTAACTGCATGTGGAACTTCAAGCCTGACAGAAGTTTTTTTTTATTATTATTATTTTTTTATTTTTTTATTTTTTTTATATATATAATGCAACTTTTTAAATCAATTATATCTGTTGTGCTGGTAAATCTGAATTTTCAACATTATTGCTTGGAAGTAAAACGACTCAGCATGAAAATGCATGAAGTTTTACAGTGATGTGCTCAAATTACAATGTCAATAGGTCTACTATAATGCAGCATGGATACTGTTAATATGGTTGCCAAAATGCCTCACTCTAAGCTGTTTAGTTTCCAAGCAACGTAGCAACTTTCCACATTACTAAACAGCTACATTTGCAGTCACACAAGTATGCATCTTTGAATTATGCAGCTCATCCAAAAATGAGAACTTAGTTTTAACTACAAGTACTTTGTACCAATGCATAAAATGCATTCAAAATCAAGAAGTATGACTGATTAGCATACTAATTACAAATATATTCTTGCACATGTATGTAATCACCTTGCTTGAACTTGGAAGCTCGTTTTTAGAGCTCCTAATGTAAAATTGTGACAGCGATGCAACGTAAAGGATGTGAAACAGATCGAGGAACAGACAACACTGTCATCAAAAATAAATCTGCAGATGTCTGGGAGAAATATTGCCCAGAAAGAGCACACATGGTCTCTCCACATGTAATGAACGAGCCTCTATGCTTTACTGTTCTACGTCTCTCTCCCATTATTCACATCCGCCTATTTTTGGTCTGACGTTGTTGGTTATTTGTGGTACCACCTGCAAAGCCTTTAATTAGCTCACATCTGCTTCACTCCCTCCCGACTGATGCACTTGGCTCCCCTCCACTCTAAAAGACCATCATTAAGCATAACCCCCCAAATCAAAAGGCCATCAAGACAAAAGCAAGCTAAAATCACAAATACTTCTGATTCTATGAAGACTGCCGAATGACATGCCATATTACGAGCTGGTGCATTTTCATCTGACGCACAGAGAATAGAGTCTTCAAACAAACCCGTCATCAGTTTGAGAGAAGCAAAAGAACAGGGATGAAATATAGATTTTTTTGTGCTCTTTGTCAGCCAAGGCAATCTTGAAAACAAAAAGCAATCAATAATGCTCAAAGAGAACGAGAAAAGGGACTAAACATTTTTAAGAGCGTTTCAGCAGGGACATGTTTCCGTTCTGCTTTCAAGTTGAAATAAGTTTTTTTTTTTTTTTTTTTTTTTTTACTTTGTGTTGCAGTTCTGCGCCGGAGTTACTCATGCAGCGTTTGCAAAGTGGTCCTGAACTCCATTGAGCAGTATCACGCACATCTCCAGGGCTCCAAACACCAAAACAAGTGAGTGTACATTTTCTGTCCTAAATGATTCCTTCACATCTCTCCAAGTCCCTGTTTACACCTGGAATTGATATGCGCGTTGGTCGATCGAGAGGGAGACATACACCTGGTGTTTACACCTGGTGTTTTAATCTCTCTATGGTCCACTTTCAACCACTTCTGTCATAATTTCTTCAAGGGGAGGGTCTATAGGTGGGTAAATGTATGGGCTTTTTTCAGATCTAAAATGAATCAGAATAACACAGTCTCATCCCAAAAAGTCATATAACTGACGTCTTGGGGCGTATTTTGACCATACGTCAATATCCGCCTTTTTAGGGCCCCCTTTACCTTTAACGTCAGTTAGGTGACGGGTTAGGTTTAGGCTTAGGTTTAGGTCTGGGGTAGAGTTAGGATCCCATAACCTCATCTACCGACGTTTAAGGGGGCCCTAAAAAGGCGAATATTGACGTATGGTCAAAAGACGTCCCAAAATGTCAGTTATATGACGTCTTGGGATGAGACCGGGTTGATCAGAAACTAAATAAGCTTGCACAATTTACATTTGAACGCAAAAGGATATGAAAAACATTCAGAGAGCAGCAGGTTTCGTTTCTGCTCTGACAGCAGAAAGTCTACGCCAGAGTATGTGTGTGTGTGTGTGTGTGTTAGAAATCTGCAATGGTGAGAGATCATTGTGCTTGGTACATTTTCATCTTCAAACCAAACTTAAGTCTCTACAAAGTTTGAATCCTGTCTGGCTTGTGTGCTTCCCATAATATTTAAGCATTAGGTCAAAAGGTGTACAGTAGGTGGTCTTCTGTGGCTGTTCGAGAGACATTCAACCACATGAGCATCTACATTAGCAATTGAGTCAAATGCGTTTTTGACTGCCTCTGGAAGTGGTCAAGTAGACAAACTCTAAATGTTTAAAACCAAGTATACATCATATAGCACTAATAATGAATTTCTGCTTTTACCAGGCTGTGATAAAATAATGTCTAATAGCTATTCTTTAAAAAAATAAAAAACAGGAATCTGGAGGAAATAGGAGGTGTCCATCAATGTGGCCTTTCTTTCTGTTTAAATTTCTGGCTGTGTTTGAAATCAGTCATATTTCTTATGCATAACCATTTACTGCTTCTTTCCTCAACGGGAGCATCACTGGTCACAGCCGCTCAGGTCTGCTGCCTGTTTAATAGAAATCACTGAGATACTGCCATAACTTTCCACACTGCACAGACTTATCATGCAGGATGCTGTTACATGTGCTGCTGACCGGCGGGATATCAGTGATTTAAACGCTCTCGGCTACCATATTAAAACATCAGTTTCTCAGTCTTTCTTTGAACTCAGAGCACAGCTCCCTACTAAGAAAAATGGTTTGGCTTCCCCATTTACTTTCTTAAAGTCCACCCAAAAACAAATACGTTGTAATTATTTCCTCATGCCATTCAAAACCAGGTTGCTTGTCCATTTTTTAAATGGTGTCACATCAATGATTTTTTTTTTTTGTTCTTGTGATAATATGTCATTAATATAATATGTCATTTTTTTTTTTTTTTTTTGCTTAGTTTTATGAAACAAGCTCTGTAATTCTAATTTTGGGTGGAACAATTGAGTCCAGTAATGGTTAATCTTGACATGCAAACAATATACAAGTTATTCTAAAGTATACTTGATAAAACCAGTAGATATTTTACAGGAAAAAGACGTGTACCACAAAGATGGATGTATTTACAATTATGCTGAAAGGCCTTTTACTTGCTAAACCTTATGAACTATCAATCAGACAACAGAAAGCATGTAGAAGAATGTGTACAACAGGGTTTTCAGCAAATTTATTCATTTAATAATTAAGAGGCCCTAGAAATGTGTATCCAATAAGAAACAGTGAGCTTTAAGTGTAGATTTATCAATAACTGACACAATGCAGACCAACCCGAATGTGCTCCTTGTTATATTTCTCCCTTTTTTTTATTACACTCCTGCAACCCCTGCACCTCGGGTCCCACTGACCACACCCAGCTTCCCATGTAACACCACCCTTAAAGGGCTATAGCATTTATCAACTATGATATAACATTTATCAACACTACAATAATGTCAAAGGGTTATCCATCAGTACTTTTTGTCGACCAGATTCACCAGCTAATGTTTGCTGGTAAAAATTTGGGCTAAATAACAGCCTGAACCAGCAGGGAAAGTCATGTTGGTTATTTAACCAGGTTCAAATAACATGATGTTTTCTATTCAGACAGAGGTGGGTAAACATTGCCACCTGTGCACACTTAGAAACAATTAAAGTCACTTCTTGTTTCTGTTTGGCAGAGCATCAGGCAGCGCTGTTTAGTTGATCTGCCACCCCGTTTGCCTCCAAATCCACCAAACTGCCTCAAGCAGGATATGCCCATCAAACTTGTAATGAAATAAAAATGAATTAGAACAAGAAAGCAGAGAGAGAGAGAAGAGAGAGGGGGGAAATGAGGTAGTAGAGCTCCCACTGTTTGTCCAATCATACACACGGCTGACAGAAATGAACCCCCCTTTATAAGTGGAACTGTCAGGTTTAAAGCCTGTTCTGAAGGCGCTTTTTCATCGTGTTCGTTTCGAGGCAGCTGGCCTGTTTCTGCTAGCTACGTGAGTCGACAACAGCCCCTAATTGCTTTTCACAATAAACCAATTGATTAACATGCCAACGGAGTCTGGATTGGACAGGAGGACTCCAGCTGAAATCCAAATCACTACTATTTTACAATCATTAATTGTAATTAGAGCTACATCCTCTCTTACGAGGAATCACTGACAGCCAGGAAGAGTATTGATTAAAGAGGATGTTTCCCTATCTTGTCGCTGCAGCGGGTTCCTGCGTGTTCTGATGAAGGCGAGGAAGAGTTTATCTAAGGGCCTGTTTTGCATTAAGACAGCAAAAAAAGAGTGTTTTTTTTTCTTGTTACAAGTAACCCCTGCAGTACATCAGTGCTTAGGATACTGTTGTGGGAGGACAGAGTTTCCGATCTGTGCCAAACACAAGCAGCTTCCTGCTACATTAATATTAACTTTCTTTGTTGAAAACTAACCACTTTTGTCCACAGTTAACATGCTTTGCCAAGCTGCATTAACACTAGAAGTGCCATAATTCCAAAACTACTAAAACGGCCACAAACGGTCATTTTGACCGTTAGATTCAAAACAGTGTTTATTTCGTTGATGAATAATTTTCGTAATTATTTTCGTCAACCACATTTTTTCAAAGACGAAAACGAGACGATAACTAAATAAAAACTAGGTTTGAATGACAAAAACTATGACGAAAATGTTAGATAGTGACGATTTGCGAAGCGGTCAATAGGCTAATAATAATAATAGAGCAGAACTAGTGAACAGCCCATGCAGCAAAACAAACAGCGCAGGACAGGGCAGCAGAGCTCACCAGGATCATCCGACATGAATGGAACATCTGGATCCGCCGTGTCTGATGATAGCAGCCGTCTCTTTTTCCTTGATGTGGACTCTGACTCTGAATCACTCTCTGATGAGGAGGAAATGTAACTTGCACCCAGGAAACGTCGCTGTCACTTTCCACCTCCGATTGTTCCCCTGCATCCGAATCATCACTTGTCAAGTTCTGAAGCATCTCCAGGGCCATGGTTCGAGTCATGTTCCTCCTCATTCGCTCATTCATTTTAGACATTTTAGCCTAGCAATATATATAGGCTATATATATAGCCTATAGATAACGAAAGTATTATATTATAACTGTAGTCCGGTTTTATTTGCTTATTTCTGATCAACAACTAATGTAGAAATTATTATATAGCAAACAACGCTACAGAGGTGACTGGACGGACCTTTCTGTTGACAGTTCAGAGAGATCAACTGCGGGATATTTAACGAAAAAATACCGCAAAATTCAGTGCGGTCAATATGACCGTCTATGGCCGAAATGGGTAAATGTTAATTTTTTTTTTTTGTTTTGCCTTACGTTTACGTAACTTAATTTATATGAAAAGCATTTTAAATGAAAATACAGACAATTTTAGGAAAAGTCAGGTACCAGCAGGATTTTATTATTTTTTTCAACAAAGTTATTGTAGATATAAAATTCAAAACGGTCAAAATGACCGTTGTGGCCGTTCTAGTGTTAAGCACTGAATGCAGACCTTCACAAATTAAGAATATTTAAAGGTGACCTATTTTGCCCATTGATAGACATGATGTAATAGAAATCTATGATGTCTGCAGAATGTGTTTGTGAAGTTTCAGCTCCAAATACCACCCCGATTTTTTTTTTATTATAGGTCGTCAAAATGCTCCGTTTTTGTGTCCCTTTAAATGCAAATGAGCTTCTGTGCCCCGCCCCTTTTCAGAAAACAGACGATCCTTTACATGTGCTTCTTATACAGGAACAACATAACAGCCGAATTTCTCTCAGGCAAAATGTCGATAATACCCAGTAGCAGAGTAGTAGCAGAGTAAAACCGGAGTCAGACTCAAATGAAGAGACTCAGGAAGAGGCTGCAACTGCATGTACAGTGACTGTATGGACACTTCTGAATGGTTAGTGGATAGGTTTATGTATCTTGTTGTTGTGGAGTTGATTCATCTCATCGACTTGCCTGTACCGTCATGTTTATCTATAAACTACTGCATAGTTGCTTGTTTGTGAACTGTATTAGGATGCTCACAGAGCCTGAATATGCTGCATGGAGATTGAGCAGGTATCATTTAGTTTACGGTTATAATGTTATAATGTTACCTTATAAAAGTGAATTTTGATTATACATCCCATTTAACTAATGAACTAATGTAACCTATCTAACTATAAATTTAAAACAAGCTATTTAATGTAAACACCATCAATATACACAATTATTTACTTAGTTATAATTCTTTTCTGACGCGTTTCAGAATGAATTTCACTGACAGAGAGAAGGCAAAATTTACATCATGTTTGTTTTTCTTTATTTGACAAAAAGCAGAACACTTAACAAGGTCTAATGATGTACTACACTTACAGT